CGTTTTTCATAGCCTCTTCTCACAATACCATTGAACTTTCGTAGGTAAACTATCATAAGAAGTCGAAATATTCCAGCAAACAAGACCTGCAAACACATCAAAACCTAAAAAATGCTTCGAGGTTAGAAACAGGATTTATTACCTGAGTCAAAGCCCTGAAAACACTTCTTTCAGGTGAAGCTCCGGCAGTAGCCACGCCTGGAAATTTATTAATATCAAGGAGAGTGTATCGTCTAGCAGCCGACACTGTGAGCGATCGCAGAGACATATGAGCTCGCGCTCTCGTATGTTATTTACAAAAATTTGACATATTTTTATCTTCTCAAGTTATTTGAAGTAATTTAGAGGTGTTTATGTTCATCCCCTTTTGGTTCACTCTCTATGAATATTTTCCATACCATATATTGACGAAAGAGAGCAGTTTCATCAAATTCCAGTGTATCTTGATTGTAACAACTTTTCGTTGCTTGATGGTCTTCAAAAGTCATTCAAAAAAGCCTAACCCGACTTTTAACTCTGCAAAAAATCATACTGGACGTAAATCTTTGGAAGCAAAGTCATGACTTGTCCTCTGCTAAAAAATGCTAGTAAGGTATTGAAGTCTCACAAGCTGGAAGTGGTACGGCACACACTGTTTTTGTGCTAATTTGTATGTCTAGAATGAGCGCGAGCTTTCCGCACATTCGCTTCATCATTTGGTCAGTTTTATATAATAAAACCTCACAATGACTCAGATAATTCGATAGTTACTTCATCAAAATCAAATTTGAAAAACACTGACAACTATTTCTCCTAAAGAACCCCTTATGCCTTCACCTGCACTCATCGCAGACCATGGATATACAGCCGATAGCCATAGACTTCTGGTCCAAAATCTCGTGCTTCTAATATGAGAAACAGAGCACTTACTCAAAACCCATCCGTTCAATCCAAGCCATGTGCTATATTGCCCATTTTCAATGTCTTTAACGTGAGCTTCAGCAACTTGTTTCGGAGTGAACAATCCTCCAGTATCAGCGATTAAACGCATTTCCTCCGTCCTCGCCATAGACTGTTTCTAAAACAACAAAACAATACTTTCTAATCTAAATGGAGTATTTTGGAGACTTTAAAAAATCGATAACAGGAAGAAAACCAAATTTTCCATCAGCTTCTCCTAAAACTCTATAAGTTTCCAAGATCGGCCTTCTTATTTCTTTGCAACTCTTAATATTTGCGAAGTGGGTCACTTCTTGCTTCCCCCTGACTAATGAACTTTGTTCTTTCTATAATTTAGACATTCATATTGTATGGGTATGCAAAAAATTGCCTAATTATGATGAATATGGAGTTTGAATTCCAACTGATGTAAAGAACATACTCTGAAGCTTTCGGAGTCAGTGTTTGGAGGATAAAGTATAGAAACATTGATATCGTAAGGCATCAACTCCATCTGTAACGCATCAGCAAGTCCCCTAAAGCATTGCTGTAAAAGATAAAGGATCTATAAACAAGTCAATAACAACACCTCAAGGCAAATTTTGTTGGAGCGAATGCCGAATAGCCATAGATGGCAAATTGTCCAACTTCTGATGAAACGAAAGAAATGTGACCACTACGCCGTCTCTTCATATGGGCTACAACGCATCGTGTCAGATATACCTAGGCATGTCAATGTTATGCATTTATTTGCAACCTATAAAATTTTCCTTGAGTTTCTAACCATACCCAACCCCCAACAGGCATACATGCGATAGGGTAAAAATTGTGCTCACATTTCCTGCACCTTGAAATAGGAAGCAAGCTACCTCCCTCAAGGTCAGGTGAAAACAGTGGTCAGTTTGAGAAGGTGAAAAAAACGACCTTGTATGCCTATTTGCGCCCTTTGCCGAATACAAAGGGAGAAGGTTGCGAAGCGATGATAAACATATATATCAGAACTACCTGAAAAAAA